TTGAGAAGCAAGAAATAGGAGCTTGTGTACAGGGAACCAGAAGCTGTTTGATGTTGGAGCAGAAAGTACCAAATGCAGGTGGTCAGAGACGGGGCTGGAGAGTCAGAGGGGTCCAGTTGGTGACAAATTTCATAGGTCAGTTTAGTAGCACGAACTTTGTCCAGATGAACCAGGCAGAGTTATAGAGAGACTTCAAAATGAGAATAGCGTGACAAGATTTCAGACCGGAAAGACTGGTTAACACGTGTATAAATGGAACTAGGCAAGAAGTGAGGTGTGTGTGTGCATGCACTCATTCCAGGAGAAGCTAGAGGGCATATTCTGCTCCCCTGGGGCCTCTTTGAAGGCCAGTAGACTTTCTCCCATGGACATTCCATTGGTCTGAAAGCACAGCCTCTGACAAAGTCAGTTTTAGGAGCAGAGGCCGCACAGTACAGTCTCTCAAAACTCTTGTGAAAAAAATACAAAGTTAAAAAATTTTTGTCCTGTGATATCATATGTGACAATGTTCAGTACTGTTCCCAATAGACAGAATCTCATATAGAAGCCACCATCTTTCCTCCCTACTAAATATTGCACGGTTCCTTGAACTGGCGCTGCTCCCCTGGGCCCTCATGTGCCTTCTCACATGCTGTTCCCTCACCCAGCAGACCTTTCCCTCCTTGGCTTGCTTGCTGAATACCTGCAGTCTTTAAGATGCAGCTCAAGTGCCTCCTATGAAGGTCCTTCAGCTTCTTGCCGCCACCCCTCCCACCCCGTTAACTCCTTCCTTCCTTTGGGCGATGGCAAGGTGTGGTTCTCCCCAATCAGAGCACCTCACTGGGTACCCCCACGTGGGAACATGGCTGGGGGCTCTACCAGAAGGGCAGGTCCTTAAGGGCAGGGATTCTGTTTAAGTGTATCTTTAGGATCCGGGTCACTGTCCTGCATACAAGAGCTGGCCCAACCTTGACTCAACAGACCTGTCAATCATGAACCTTTGAAGCCAACTTCTTTTGATTTTAAGCAAAGCTCGCTAAATATGAAAAACATCAACGAAGCAGGAATTTTGAACTTTAAACTACTAAAATTTCTTTTACAGAACTGTCTATGCTTTAATCCCTCATTTTTACAGCATTATCTCACTTCTTCAGAGGTTGTAAATCTCATAGTACAGGAGCCAGAGTCACCACTAGGGGAATTTCTTTTATTTTTTGTATAAAATAGTTTCAGGCTCACAGTCATGTCAATGCATTCTACTATAGAGGCCTTTCTAATAGAACAAAATGGAATCCTGCATGTGCTTAATTAGAGTTCAGTTTTCTGGCTTTAGTTTTCTGCTTGACACAGAGGAAGGCATTTAGGAAGGAGCTGAATGCGTGTGATTCACATGGTGAGTCTGGGTGATGATGTGTCCAGGGCCCTCAGAGGAAATAGAGATGATGGAGTCCACTCTGGGCCCCCTCAAGATCAAGGCTCTTCTGTTTGCTAAGGATGGAGGAAGAGAGCAAAGGGCTTGAAAATTCTTAAATATGTGCCTGAGTCTGCATGCAGCCTGGTGCCCCAGATGCTCAGGCCTCTCCTCCAGCTAGCTGCGTCCTCTGGACCCAGAGCAGAAAGACCCAGGCTGAGGTCAGAGTGGGGACAGGCTGGAAGGGGGCATTGCTCCCATTGATGGAGTGTGCACTGTGTGCCAGCCACTGTGTGAGGGTCCTGCAGACCCCGTCTCATTCAATCCTCACAGATCAGGTGTGAGGGTCCTGCAGACCCCCTCTCGTTCAATCCTCACTGTTCATTCATTCAAGGAATGTTTAACAAAAGCAGCTCCTGGCATCATAATGGAGATACAGGGATTATTAAATTGTTAAAACAACAAAGTCCCAGTTGCCCACTGAGTCTGCGGTGAGAGAGCTGACTGAAGTGCAATGGGGGAATAATGGTTTAGGGGAGGGAACAGCAAGTGTGAAAGCCTTGAGGCAGGACCACGTGTAGCATGCTTGAAAAATAACAACCACCCTGCTGAATAATTACTAGTATTCCCATTTTACAGATAAGAAATCCAAGGCATTGTAAGGCAAAGCAACTACTCCAAGGTCACAGACCTGGTGAGTGGTAGAGCTGTAATTTTAACCTGAGTCTCTCTGACACCAAAGCCTTTGTTCCCTCCATCACACTGCTACGTTTAAAGTCAGGTCTTGGCAGTTGAAAAAGAGAATGGGGCGACCCCTGAGCTTACCATCCGGCCTCACCCTCCCAGGGAAGTTTCCTGGATCCTTCCTCCATCCATACATCAAGCAATGTATATTGACTCTGCACCTCCTATGTGCCCACCTGTGCCAGGCAGCAAGGGAAGCCCAGTGTTTGACCCGTCGCAACCTTACTCAAAAGACCTCTGACAGAGCGTCCAAAGTCAAGCCTGGGGGTGGTCCGAGAAGCAGAGATTCCTTTCCATCTGGGTAGCCCAGGCAGGCTGGCTGGAGGAGTTAGAATATGGGCTGGGCTTGGAGAGTGAGAAGGGTAGGTACGCTTCTGGGCTCGTGCCTGCTCAGCTTTCGCATCATCCTCGCCTACAGTAGGTAATATTATTTGTTGACCATTTTTCTTTTCCTTCCCTCTCTTGCCAAGGCTTCCTAGTGGGAAGAATGTTGTCTGTTCCGCTCACCTTAACTTTGGCCACATGACTTGCACTGGTTAATGGATGTGGGTAGAAGTGATAGGCGTCTGCTTTGATTTGCATCTTTAAGAGTCATGGCAAGGCTGCATTTATCCCTCCACTTCGCCAGGAAAAGGAAACACCCAGGCAGCTGCTGGTCCCAGAATGAGTAGGCATGTGGAGCAGACCTAAATCCACCCATTGTTTAGGACAAGCTCAGCCCAACCCAGCTGACTGGGGCCAAGCCGGGCAGATGCCATCAAGGTCACAGCAGACCTATCCACCCGTGAAAGTGACATAACTATGTGTTTTAATAAGCCAGTGAGATTAAATTGTGTGTTACTTGGCACTATTACAGCAGGATTTGAATAATTCACTTGTGCCCTCAGTCTTAGGCAAACTCAGGTAAGCCCCTTAGCTACTCTGAGAGGACAGGGCACATGATGGAAACCAGCCTGAGTATACATCAATTGCTCAAGGTCAAACACTCCACAGTTCAGAATCCGGTCTCTGACTTTATAGACATCCCAAAGATTGTGTGCCTACAGATTGCACACAGCACAGTGAATGAGAAATAAAAAAAATAAAGTTGGGTCATGTGTCCCAATAACTCTGTTCCTTACAATGGTTGCTACTAACTGTGTTCCTCCGAATCCAGGAGCACTGGAAGGGTTGCTGGGGGACCAGCCATGGTAAGAGGAGGACAAGGGGACCATGGATTCTAGTCCCTCATCCTGCCTGCAACTCAGGAACCTCTACTTTTTTTGGTTGTATACAATCAGATTCCAGAGGATTTTGTTTGAAGTTGAAATCCACTACTGAAAAATGTTTAGGATGGCTAGTGTACATGAAGAGCCCAAACTCTACACCCTGATACTTAAGGGCCTCATAACCCCTCCCTACTCTTTTGTCTGATGGTAAATCCCATTTCTCCCTTCGCTCCAGGCCCTGCTCCCAACAGTCCGTGACCCCCGTTTACTATTCCCAAGCTTGAGCAGGTTTCCCTGCCTCCTTTGCCCCTCTTCTCTCTGTCTGCAACACTCCCTCCCTACTATCTGCTGGGCCTCAGAGCCCTCATCAGTAACGGAGAAAGGCCCTCTGGGAGCATCTAGTCCAACCTCTCTGATCCATAATGTCTCAGTGCTTCTTTGTAAATTCCAGCATCTGCTGAGTATTTACTGAAGACAGGCACTGCTCAGCATTTTACATGAATTAGCTGAGTGAGTCCCTCAATATTTTGAGCTGCAAACTATTATTCTTTTCATTTTATAGGTGAGGAAACTGAAACCAAGCCAGGTTAAGTAACTTACTCAAGGTCAGACAGCTAGTTATTAGATCAACAGTGTCTGAATTTACACAGGCTCCAGAATCTGCACTTCAAACTTCCAAAAGATTGCCTCCCTCATTTTATATATGAAGAAACTCTAGCCTTGAGTGGAAAGGGATTTGTTTAAGGCCATACAGCTGGTCTGTGGCCACACAGGCCAGCACTCAGGTCTCCCAAGGCTAGCCCCATTGGCTGACCGCACAGCTGTGCCTCTGGGCTCCACTCAACCCTGGCTGTGCCCATATTGGAGGTGCGGGGCTGGTGGCAGAGCCAGGAGGCATCTCTGCAACTGAGCCTCCTGCCAGCTGGCCTCACCTGTGCCTGGTCCACCATGGGCATTTCTTCTTGCTCATAAGTTCCATATCATTTCATCATCGAGTTCATTGCTGGAAGGCGTCTTGGAACACCTCTGGGCCCGTGGCTTTAAACAGACCACTCATTGGTGTCATCTGGGAAAGTTTTTAAAACACTCACAGGGATTCTGATTTAATGCTCCAGGGGTTGGGCCAGGACACTGATATTTTTGACATACTCCCAGGTGGTTCTAAAGCGCAGCCAGAGCTGAGATGCTCTGCTCTAATCCAGCCTCCTGCTGCTCCACCCTTTTCATAGAAAGAGAAATGACCACGCGGGTCCCCAAAGAGCAGCAAAGCCTCGCCTGGAAGCGAAGCCCTTCTGATTCTAAAGCTCATTCTCTTTTCCATCAGTCAGAAGTCTTCCCTAACCACTGCAGGCAACAGCGTTCTCCCTCCTCCTACGGAGCGTGAGCCTGGAGCACAGCAAATGAAAATCCCACCTGGCTGGGAAAAAATAAAGACAGCTGGGCACAGAAACTGAGATGGCATTGAGGCTATCCTGGAGGGCCCAATCCAATCACTGGGGTCAGAAACTGTAGGCATCGTCAGCTTTTCCTACTGTCCTTTGTCTTAGATTTAGTAACTCACTCCCCCCACTCCCTCCTCCCTGCCCCCACCTGGACCTTGAACTTTTCATGGGGTGCAGGCTGAGGTGGGCTGAGCTCTGGCCACCACCCTCCCACCACCCCTACCCCTCACCCCAGCATTTCAGATGTAGCATACCACGAATATTGCGTTTTTTAATATAGTGGTAAGGAATTACCAAACATATCATATTTTATCTTTTGTTCTGGATCAAAGGCCTTTAAAATCTGAAATGCCACTTCAAAATCCAAAATCTTGTCAGTATGGGCATGCCAGTTTAACTGGGGGTTGAAAAATCATCCTCACTTTTACTGCCTCTTGCTCTGTAGTTGTCCCTGGTTACTGTTCTGCCTCTGTCTCCACAGAGACCACTCTGGGCCCAGTAACCATGGTGATAGGAGAAGACGTGAGCAGATGGGAGCTCTACTTCCAGAATTTAAACATCCTCATGTTGGGGGAGGTGTGTGGGGAATGAGGGAAGGGAGGAAAAAGAGCTAACTGGGGAGGGAGAAGTTACACTATTCTTAACCCAGGAATGGATCGCAATGCTGGGACAAACCATAAGGCATGATTTTTTTGTTGCTGAGCCAAGCTCTTCTCCTTGACCTCAATAATGATTTATTCCTCTCTCTTCCTCTTGCAATCAGACTCTTCTAGACAATGACATTCCTAGGGAGACGGAGACAAAAGCTTTCTGTAACACGCAGAGTTGGAAGCATTTTTTAAACATATTTGAGCGCATTGCATTAATATATTTTTAAAGATGTATCACTCACTTTGGAAAACAAGGTTCTGAAACTGTATTGATTTAGGTCCAATATAATTGTGGTGTATTGGGAAGACTACAGCCCAGAAACTATGACAGCGGGGCTGGAAGCGTGGTTCAGTTACTCGCTCCCCCGGCAGCCTTGGGCCAGTCCGTTTCCCAGAGACTTGGTTTATATCTCTAAGATGCTCTTAAGATACCTGTTGGCTTTGAAATTATGTGAAAAAAACCTTATTGGATGTTGAACTGAGACTTTCTATATCAGTTTATGCTGAGACCCCAAAGGTTGACATCAGTAAAATAGGTGACAGACGACTACACAGGGCATGTGAAAAAATGGCAAAATCAGTTTTTCAGTCCTTTGTCTAAAGGAAGGTGGAAGAGGACAGGGAAGATTTCTTCAGAGAGAGTTTCAGTTCGCTGAGTATCATTCCCAGCTCACGGGAGAGAAGAGTGGGTCACTCTGCCCACTGACTACCCAAAACCCAGGGAGAGGGGTACCAATAAACCCACAAAAGCTTGGGAGAGCTTGACCCATGAAATTCTGGAATTTGGGGAAACATAGGAACTGTACCTGACTCAGGACGGTGGTCACGGCTGAATGCTGAGGCCTGGGGGCAGGATGAGAAAGATGGTGGGTTCGAGAAATTCTGGGAAGAGAAAGAAAGTAGAGAGAAAGAGAGAAGCTTTAGGTTGGACAAAGAGTTTGGGAGTTTTTATTTCAGACTGAAATAGGCTTTTCATTTGGTTTATTTACTGAGGGCAACTGGAAAAGCTGAGACCAGCCTGAGACTTCCTCCACGGGTGAGGGTGGGAGGGGATGTCCATAGGGAGCATTTAATGAGGAATGAAGAGAAAAAACGAAGTGGCTTTCTGTTTGTACCCTATTGTGCCAGCTGGTTCAATAAACTGGTTATGGGCTGAATTGTGTCCCCCCCAAGATTCATCTGTGGAAGGCCTAACCCCAGAACCTCAGAATGTGACTGTATTTGGAGAAAGGGCCTTTAAAGAGGTAATCAGGGTAAAATAAGGCCATTTGGGTGGGCCCTGATCCAATATGACTGGATTCCTTATAGCAAAAGATTAGGACGCAGACACACACAGAGAAGAGGCCGTGTGAAGACACAGGAGGATGGTAGGCATCTACAAGCCAAGGAGAGAGGCCTCGGGAGAAACCAACCCTGCTGACACCTTGATCTCGGATTCCAGAATGGTGAGAAAACTTCTGTTTATGCAGCCCAGTCTGTGACACTTTGTTCTGGCAGCCCTAGGGCACTAAGATACTGGCTGTGATTATTTCGTCACTTCAACCGCCTGTATCATTGGCCTGAAGGGAGAATAGGCGCCCCCGCAAGGATCTCTGCAAAGATATTACTTCTCAAGTCTGAAAAGGGACCTGAGGTTTTGCTGCTTTTCTGTATCCTCCCAACTCACTCTTGAATTAGTGTTGGATACCTTCTCTCGTTTCTCTGCATCACAGGTCTGGGATATTGGCTGTCCCACTACCTTGGGTTCAGGTACACAGAAGCTCATGGCATTTCTCCTGGATCTCAGAACTGGAAGTGAATGCCAAGGCAGGTCTGCTTGTAGATGAGGTAGGAGACTGCCCATGCTGTGATCATTCAAGGCAAGCAGATAAGTCTTCCGGCTCCAAGCCCGACAAAACCCCAAACCGAATGGAACCTACACCCAAAGCCCTTCCCTACTTTGCTCACCAATTCTGAAAATGCTTTTTCTGAGGTTCTCTTCCTGCCTCTCCACAAGGTCCAGAGCCGGAAGGAGCCACAGAGCTGGCTCTGGCCATCACCATGACATTTAGTACAGGATTCCCACTTATTCATCTTCTCACCTACTAGCCTTGAATAAACCAATAAAAGGAAGCAAGATATGCAAATAAGTGGGATTCTATCTTTCCATGACCTCTCTCAAACTATGCCCTCTTTGTTCCAAGGACTGTTTCTAAAGGGCAAGAAGCTTCGAGGAAAACTAATCTGCATTCCCAAGTGGCTGATGATGAGACGTGGTCTGGGTGATTGCAGTGGTGTCTCCCAAGCCTGTTCTGCTTGGAGACTAGGCTGACCTGAGCCCAGAATTGGGAAGTCCCATGAGGACTTGTTGAGGCAGAAGAACAGGATTCTCCCTTCCTACTGGTTCGGCCACAGTCTGCGCTGCCTCACGCCAGGGAGCTAGTAATACACAGACATCCAGGCAGTCCTCTTAGGGTCATGAGCAGAAACTGGGCCTGAACATCTATATTGCTAGGCCCTATGCTCAGAAGTTTTCCTTATTGCCTCTAGTCTAATGCAAGAGCCCTAGAAGGTTGGAAGTAGTGTCGCCTACCATGTGGACGAGGAAAATGGTATTCAGAAGGGTCAAGGAATTTGTCCAGAGCCCTCTAGTCAGTTTCAAAAAGGACAAGCCACGCTAGAGTACTCTAGTGCCTGATGCCGAGCACAGTGCCCTTTCTTTAGCTTAATGCTTATGAAACCTGGAGCTGTTTAAAGATCAAGAAATGTGCTCACTCTCAAATCCTAGAGACAGATTCATATGCTGAGAAAAGAAAAATTATAACCAGCCTCCCAATACCTGCAGTTCACCTGCTTGTGTGCCTCTCCACGTGCCTGGCTGGGGCCCAGGAGTTTGAAGCTCACTAGATGGGTACACCCAATGGCACTTTTGTCATTTGGTGCCCTGTGAGATCCTCAGGTTGACTTCTTGCCACTTGTGATTGCTGAGACTAGAACACAAACCTTCAGCTGTCTAAATGGACCCCGGGAAGACAGGTCATGCCTGAGCTCAGCCTTAGCGGTGGGCTGGAAAGTCGGTCAGATGGAAATGGAGTGGTAGTTTCTTTTCTGTGGCCTGAGCCATCTGTGCGTCCCCTCAGAGGACTTGTCTCCATGCACAAAGATGGGTGTCGGTCCAGGTTGGAGTGTTAGGCTCCGAGTGCTTGTTAGGAAGGAGAAATCACAAACAGCAGTCTTGGAACAATCCCCTGACTTGCTGCCCTGCTCAGGAGAATGAGTGCTCCCTCAGAGCATAACCAATCCGGATGGAGCTGATATCTTTGCAGAGGCCCATTGCCTTCTCCCACCAGGCCTGGCTGGGGAGATATCAGCAGGAGAACTTGCACCTGTTAAACCAACAGGCTCTTCTATCTCTATGCTCCTTATCTAAGCTCAGAGCTTCTGGGGCACCTGTGCTCCCTCAGCTGCATCAACTACTCGGTGCTTCTTCTCCCCTTCCCTCTCTTACTGGACTTCATCCCTTTGCCCTCTGGAACTACTGATCTGTGGTAACAACTTCCCCTGCCCCTTTGGACTCTTCATCAAATATTCCATTTCCTTAAGTGTCAAAGCCTGTTTACCCCCGAGGACACAACTTCTCCAGCTGCTTCCTTTTGTGGCAGCTGCTGATTCCCCCTGAGCCCCCATATGTAGAGTTGGGAGGTGGGCTTGCATCTGTGGTGGAAGCTCCTGGTGCCTTGCCCAGACACCCTTATCCATGCTGGAGCAGCAGCATCCTAAGTGCAGTAAGTGTGGGCTTCCCACTGCTCACAGCTGCCCCTTTCTCTGCAGAATTGCTCTCGACCAAATGAGGCCACCTTGTGTCAGTGGCCAACAGCTGACTGGCACAGGGGTACAAAAGGCTGGCCACCTGTCTCAAGTTGGGGCCAATTCTGTGGTATAGTTTGTGCCCCAGAGCTCCTTTGACTGAAGCTAGTCTCCAGGAAAGACCACATCCTTGCTTAGCTTTCTTCCCCAGCTCTATCTTGCTTCCCTCCCTCAATAAATCACTTTCACAAGAGTCCCTACCTCGGGCTCTGCTTTTAGGGAACCTGACATGAGAGCCCCTGCTCTTTGGGGCTGCAGTTTGTCACACAGGATTCTGCCATCATACAGAGCTGCTGTCTCTCAGATTCTTAAACTTGAACATGCGATTCTCTGCTCAAGCTTCCTGTGCTTCTGGCTGCCCATTTCTGGCCCTATCCCTAATCCTCGTGTCCATCAAAACCGCCAGCACCCTGAACCCTGGACTCTCCTGTCAACTCCATTCTGTCCTTCCTTCCTTTCTTCTTTGACATGGGCTCTAGGGCCTGTCCCTTCAACTGTCTTTGCCAATATCCTTCAGGCTCTGCCCTGTTATTGTTGTTGCATTTTCCTCGGATATCCCTAACTCCGCACCAATGAAACCACCTGAGCCTCACGAGGACCTCTGGGGAAATTCGTACGACTGTGCAGAATGCTGCCAGAGAACATTCATGGTCTCCAACCCCGATGCTGCCAAGAAATCCTTCTGTTCCCGAGTCAACTTTGTTTCCCATAGTAGTTATTTAAAATCTTCTTGACGATTCTCGAACTTCCCACCCACCACTTCCCACTCCTTCCCCGCAGATAACCTTATCTTCTACTTCACAGAGAAAATAGGTGGCACGGCTACCATCTTCCTCTGCTTCCTGACTTCACACCTGCAGACTGCTTCCTGCCATTCTCATCCTTTTAAAACTTTCTCTACAGCCAAAAAGAAAGCCCTGTTCTTCCTGCGATAGGATAGCTCGGACCTGATTCCTTCACTCTAGCCCTGGCCCCATTGATTAGCCTCTGCTTTGATGTCTTTCCATCCTATCTCTCCCCCATCTTCTCCTGTAGCTCAAGTTTCTTCCATCTTCTGTCCTCCTCTGAACACAGCCCCCTCTCTCTCCCTTCCACAATCAAACTGGATGAAAGTGTTGTCTATGCCATCTGGAGTTTACCACAAACCCTGGTCTTGCTCACTAAAGTCTGCGAAGTGAAACCTCACAGCAGCCACTTCTCAGGACCTCCCACTGACTGCTCCTGGACTTTTATCACCATGCCCACACCCTCCTACCTTAATCCCTCTGTTCAGTTCTGTGACTCCCCAGGCCAGTCACAAGCCATTTGGGCCATTTCTTCTCAGACTCTTAAATGAGCTCTTCATTCTCTTCCAGCTCTAACGTTTTAGATCTCTTTTACCCCAACTCTTATCTCTTTGTCTCAGTATGTGTTCCCTGGGGCATTTCCTCCACTAATCCTTTACTGAGGATTTCTGATTCCCAGCACTGATAACTCACACAGGGCTTTAGATTCATTTATCTAACCACCTACCAGATATTGTTATTCAGAAACCTCACAAACCCTTCAAGCTCAGCATATTAAAACTGGAACTTATCATAGTTTACCCAGGATATCTTTCTCCTTCTGTGTTCCAACCTTGGTGGGTGTAGAGGGTTGAATGGTACCCTCTCAAAAGATATGCCCATCTGCACCTGTGAGTGTGACCTTATTTGGAAAAAGGGTCTTAGCAGATGTAATTAAGTTAAGCATCTCAAGATGAGATCATCCTGGATTAGGGTAAACCCTAAATCCAAAGACAAGCATCCTTAGAAGAGAAGAGAAGGGGAGAAGCCTCTGAGAAGATGAAGGCAGAGATTGGAGTGATGCAACCACAAGGCAAAGAAAGCCAAGGATTGTTGGCAGCCACCAAAATCTGGGAGAGAGGCATGGAACAGATTGTCCTTCAGACTCCAGAAGGGACCAGCCCTGATATCCCCTTGATTTCGGGCTTGTGGCCTCCAGAACTTAAAAGAAGAAATTTCTGCCCTTTGAAGCCATCAATTTTGTGCTAATTTGTTACAGCAGCCCTAGGAAACTAATACAGTGGGTGGTACCACCCCTTACAAGCTACCGGGGCCAGGGGCCATGCAGTGTTCTGACTCCCCTGTCAGGGCTCCACCAATTCTCGTAGGTTCTTTTGCTTTTTCTCACCTCAGTGCTTCTACCCACCCCTGCGCTCTGGGTTCCCTGTTTGAGTACAGAGCAGTATATCTTTGCTTGAGGACCCAGACATGGGTTCCGGAGTTGGAGATCCTGGGTAGACTGTGTTACCTTTGGCAATTTATCTAACACTGTAGTGTTTAATTCCCTCATCTTTAAATTGGGGATAATAATCGTACCGACACAGGTTGTTAAGAGCTTAAAATAGCACACTTTAAATAGCGCTTTTAGCTTAGTAAGTGGTCAAAAGCATTAGCTGTTACACTACCAGCCCTCTCATACGGGTTACATCAGAAGCCAGCATCTGCTATCCCTTCCTCCTGGCTTACCACCACACCGATGCGTGGTCTGCAGTGCAGCTGGAGGAACGCGTCCAAAGAACAAGTATGTCCCAGTCTCTCTCCTGCCTACCTTTCTTCAGTCATGCACCACTGTTTGACGATACACTCCCTCCTCCTCAGTGAGGTGTGCAGATCTTCGTGATCTGATTGTTGCTTCTCTCTCCAGCGTCACTTCTCACCACTCACCGTTTGTGCTCCAACCATGTGAGCCCTCAGCGGCATGCACCGAGCCCTCTCACCTTGGGACCTCATCTACACTCTTCCCCTTCACTCTCCCTCCTGGTCACGTGGGTAGCTCCTGACCTACAATTGAGACAACAAGGAGGGCTCCCCAAAGAAAGCAGAAATGAGGCTGGGACACCATGCTCCCCTGACCTCCCAGTGCTGGGCGAGGTAGTCTTCATGGGTCAGGCCATTCTGGGCTCACCCTTGCCAGAGCCCTTATCACATTGTGTGGTAATTCTGGTCACTTGCTGTGTTTCCCACAGACTGTCAGGTCCCTGAAGACAGGAGATACTTCTTGCTCATAGATCTTTTCTAACAATAAGCTTTCCTCCTGGCATAGACTTTGACACTCGGTGACTATGTGTTACAGGAATTCATTTATGGAACAATTTCTATACGTCAGGCACAGTGCTAGGTCCTCCAATCCTGGATTGATGGGGTAACCTTAACTGCTATAACACACCAATCTGAAATCTCAGTGACTTAATGTAGGAGGAGCTTTTTCCTGTTCCTATGAAGGTCATTGGTGGGGGAATGGGCATGGGGATGCCGTGGGATCATAAAATTTTCAGAGAGCCAGGCTTACGGATGTTCTGCCATCTTTAAGATCTGGCTTCCAAGGCCACTCTGGTCACCAACCTCTGGTTGGCAGGTGGGGAAAGAGAGAGGACAGAGGATCATGAGAGAGGAGAGTTTTATAGGCCCAGCTTCAGTGTGTGCGCATGGCTCCCACCCTTATTCTGAGGCTGGAACTCATACTCATGGCCCTGTTGCATTGTAAAGAGGGCTAGAAGTGGACACCTACTGGGCTCCCACTTCTCAACAGCATGCATTTTTGGGGGCACCCAGTCACCTTTGCCACACATCCATGGTTTCATTTAGTCCTCACTGTAATCCTGCAAGGAAGGTAGTATTGGCCCCTTTTTACAGAGGAGAAGACTAAGTCTGATGTGAAAGGACTCATTTAAAGTCACTCTGTACTACATGACAGCCTGCACTGAGACCCAGGTGTATATAACTCACCATGCCTTAATGTCACCATTGGGGACACAGTTTACCAATGCTGCATGGCATTTCCTTCTGCTCTTGTGTCCTGGCCCTGTCCTCTGGACCACTTGTGGCTATTGCCCCAGGTGCCTCAGCCTCTGGTCACCTTTGGCCATGGTAAGCATCAAGGAGTCTTGGCTTCTTCTAGAACTGTCTCCAGAGTTCTAGAACCCAGCCACATGACCGTTGGTCAACTCACTCCTAGTATAGGCTCAGGGCTGTCTTACCCCTCAGTTTCCCCAGAAGGGAATGGGAGTGACTGTTGAGAAAGGGCCTTGGAAGTTCACTGATGTTTTAAGTCAGTACTTAACCTGGAACTATGGCTGCCCATCTTTATACAATTGAATTTCTGAGATGAAATAAAACCTTAGCTCAGTTACTCACTAAGTTTTCTCCTGTATGCAGAGGTGCACTCTCATATGTTGGCCTTTGGGGTCACGTCCTCTGCTTGTTTCTTGGTGCTGATGCTGACCTTCTGAGCATGACATTCGGGAGCCTTCATGATCTGGACTCTGCCTAAAACTTCAGGCTCCATTTCCATCTCACCTTCCCTTCTACACTCATTGCCTGAGGGAATAATTCAGCAGTTTCCCAACACTAGACTCTTTCACATGTCCCTGTCGTTGCATACGTTGCTTCCTCTGCCTGCCCCGGCCATGTCTTACCAGGTGTCACCAGAACCCTCCTCATCCTTCGAAACAGTATGGGCGGCCTATTGCTTCAAAGGCGCCTTCCCTGATCCTCTGCGGAAAAGGCAGTCACTCTCTTTTCTGTAGTTCCTCAGTCCCCTGTTTCTGCAGTAGTACAGTGTTCTTCTCATAGCCTCATCTTTGTCTATCTGCACATTTTCCTTCTGGATTGTGAGCCCCTGAGCAAGGGCTGATTGTTTTCTGGTTTGAATCTTCTCTGCTCAGCCCAACAATCATACTGAATCAGTCAGTAAAAGTACTGTGATGGAATTAGAGACGCCTACAGCTGGAAGGAACTTAGAGACCATTAGTTAAAACCTCTCATTTGTCATTTGTGGGGAGAAAAGTGAAGCTAAGGCTCAAAGAATTTAAGTAACTTAAAATTGAAGTTCGATTTGGTTGAAGTTTGCAAAGCTGATTGGCAATACATTGGGGACCATCAGTCAACAGTCTTGACTTCTAGCCCATGTCAGGGAGAACCACTGGGTCTCAAACTAGCTCCTGAATTGGGCCTTTCAAAGACTATATTCTACTTTTCTTGTCATCTAGTGTTTTGGGGACTTTTGTCAGTAGCATGTTGCACGTGGACACTAGTGGGATCCTGCCAAGGACAGAGCCCCATGTTAGGGGCCAGGCTCGGTGCTCTGCCCCTTCCAGAGCCATGGACGCAGCCATGGATGATGGAAATACACAGAGAGGTGGGCACTGCAAACCCATTCTTTGGGATAGACACTGCCTTCCCTCCCTGGAGCACTCTGCTGCTGGAAGCCACGACCCACACAACGGTCTTGTAAAGAGTTCAGGGAGCAGATGGATCCAGCAGATGCAGAGCAGTGGGCCTTGGAAAGATCCCTTCTCAAGTGTCCAGGGGTTGGCTTGTGTTCCCAGGCCAAGCTGCCTCTGGTCAGGGCAAGTGTGGGCGGGGAGGGGGACCATCAGTGCCACTGGGGGAGTGATGCAAACAGTAAGTAAAAACAACTGTGAAGGAAACTAGTTCCACGACCTACGCTGCTTCATAATCACATTTGTTTCAAGCCGTTTGATTCTGGCTTCATCTGATCTGTTTGTTTTCGATGCTTCATTGAGACCAGCTACTCCTGAGAAATGGGAATGACACTGTGCATACAACTGAGGTTTGGACAATCCCGAGTCATATTAAACATGGAATTTTCAAACAATTTCATCAGAGAAAATCAGTGAACAAAGAAAGAGAATGACAAGATCTTCAAATATCCTCTGCTGTTAGCCAGTGAAAATGCAGGCTCTGATTTACAGATAAATTACATCTTGAGGATTTTGCTCTCGTGGCTTTATCAAAAGGATGATTTTTGACCAATCAAGAGGGCTTATTTTTCTTCGGCTGGTGTTGTTGGCAGGCAGAAATCCTCCTTCTCCTGGGGTGTGACCCCTCTCTGCCTCCTTTCTGTCCTCGTGGGCTCAGCCCTAAGTCAGGCTTCATCGTCTTGCTGTGAAGCTCTGATCTGTCAGCCTGGCTCCGGTCTTGCTTCATGCAGCCCTCCAATTAATCTCAGCACCACGCCACAGCCACAGTCATTCTTCCAAACTGTCTGACCACGTCACTCTCCTGCTTAAAGCCCTTCTATGACCATCCTTGCTCTCAAATAAAGCCGGGCTCCTCACCACTGTTTTATTTGCTGCCTACCTCTCCAGTCTCCTCCCTGCCCTGTGCTATCTGCTTCTTCACTTCAAATTGAACTCCCAGTTAGACCAAACACTTTCAGCCCCCGAACTCCAGGCGCTCTTTCAGGACCCCATGCCTTTGCCCCCACAGCTCCCTCTACCTGGAGACCTTGTCCTCCTAGTCTCCTCCTTTAATTCCCCACTCATGTGTCACGTCCTCCATGAGACTTTCCTGACCAGCCAGGTCTCCATCAGAATTAGAGTGAGGGGCAGTCCCCTCCAGAGACTGGTTGTCTCACTACCTGCAGTGCTCCATCATCTCATCTGTGGACTTGTCTGTCGCCTGTTGGTTGGGGAGTTCTGAAAGCTGGGTCAGCTCCTTCTCAGGGAGGCCGGGCACAGATTAAGGATTCAGTGGATGTTTGTTGAATTTGTCAGAGGATGAGAACGGATCTCAGATGAGATGGTCCCTTCAGTCCTCTCTCTAGCCCCTGCCTGCCGTTGCCTCGTGGAGAGACAGCTGCAGGGCCCGCAGGCCAAAGCCCTGGGGTCAGAGAAACAACTGTCTTGTGTTTTCTCCAAAAATGAAGATTGCAACATCCTCATGGCCTTGAGTTCAGGGCTGTGGGAGGAGGTCACATGGGGTAATGGTGGGGGTGGAGGGATCTGGGTGGAGACGTGGGGACCCCTGGGCCAGAGTGAGCACGGAGGCAGTGTCCCAGGAGCCCCCTGCTGCTACTGGCTGCACAAATTCTCAGAGAGGAGGCTGCTCTCCTCAGCTCCCTTCCCACGTTTCGCTTTTTCCCTGTATCCGGTTATGTGTCAATCCCTTCTCATCCCATGGGAGCCAGCACCAGTACCCAAACATATTTACCAAACATCAGCTTGGGCTATTTTTTGCACGTCATGGAGCTCCAAGGGCGTTCAAATGACCTTTTAGCTGGAAAGCACAGTGCCTTGGAGAGCGGCGCCACCTGGTGGCCATGGGAGTTAACGTCCACATTCTCTGGAGGAAGCCGACAACCAAGGCCTTCCACCAGCACACAGGCTGTGTGACAATAGGGTCTCTGTGATCCTGATAGAGGCTCAGAATAGGCCCTGCTGTCTCTGATACATCTGTTCAATGGTGGTAGGGCTGAGAGAGTGAGGTCACACTAGAAGAAGCAGCCCAACTCCTCACGTGGGCAGTGACTGGGCAATGATGCTGAAGATGGATCCTTCTGGAATCTGAGAGCTGAAGAGTGGTTTAGAGACCCATCAAGTCCCACCCACTCATTTCTCAGATGGGCAAATGAAGTCCAGAGAGGGGAGGTCTTGTGAGAAACTAGTTGAAGAGGCGGGACAAGAATCCAGGTTTCCAGGCTCCTTGTCTGAGATCCATCCATTCCAGTGCTTTAGAACAGTTCACTGTGCTGTTCGATTTTTCATTTGACTTGCTGTTTTAGAGGAAAAAGCAGGTCAATCTCCACTCAAGTATTAATCTCCTTCTTCTTTTCCAAATGTCTATCAAGCGGGTCCGACTCTAGCCCTCCTTCCGCCAGGAAGTCTTCCCTGAGCAGTTAGAAACCTCCCTTCTGAAGTCCCACAGGCAGCCAGTCATTCATCCAACATTTGCAGAGGACCTGACCTAGACACTGGGATACAGGATACACAAGACAAGCTAGTTGGGGGAGATCAGCCATGGATGGATGGATAGATGGATAGATCGATAGATCAATAGATAGATAGAAGATAGATAGATAGATAGATGGACGGATGGATAGACAGACAAGTAGATGGATAGATTATGGATAGATAATTTCAGGTACTAATAAGTGCTTTGAAGATGATAAGTAAGGCAATATGATAAAGTATGGCCGTGAATGAGGACAACTTTAGCTAGAGTGATCAGGGAAGTTTGCTCTGGAGAGGGCTCATTTGCAAAAAAGGATGAGAAGGAGGGAAGAGAATTCCTAGCAAGAGGAATGGTAAATGCAAAGGCCCCGAGTCTGGGATAAGATGGGCAGGTCCAGGGCACAGAGAAAGCCAGAGAGGGGGTAGAGTAGTAGACAAGGGAAGAGTGGAGGATGCTGAGCTCAGAGAAGTGCAGGCCGGGTCTTGGGGATTGAGTTGGGTTTGTATGCTGCTCGCAATTGGAAGTCATTAGAGTTTAAACAAGAAAGCGACACCTCTTATTTATACCTCAGGTGGATCTCTTGTGGATTAGTGCTTGAGGACTCCTGCTTTAACACCTCCTTATCACCTCCAGAACGCCTTTTCTCTTCCCCCAAGTTGAGTAGGTGTCCCTCTCTTGGCCCCAGTGTCAACATCTTCATTTGGCTATCACTGTGCCTACCGTGTTGTTTTAGAATGGACAGTTTGTGTGTCTTCCTATTTTACCAGGAAGTAAATTCCAGGTGTAGTGAGACAGTGGTGGATCTGGAATAGACGCCGTGGTGCGAAGACTTGCTCTACCCCTTAGCAGTGGTGTGGATTTAGGCGATTCACTCAATGTCTCTATGCCTCAGTTTCCTTGTCTGTGAAATGGGGATAATAGTGCACACTTCATGGAATTGTTGTAATAGTGAAATAACGTGTGTAAAATATGTCATGAGGGGCACGAAGTAACCACTCTATGAGTAGTAGATACTGTCCCTGGGTGTTTTCTTGGGCCTGCGGCTCAGAAGGTTGGTCCCACCGCCTCTTGAGGCTTCTGGCCGTGGTGTGCACTGCTCTTTGAACAGGGAGACTATGAAGGAAGGGTCCAGGCAGAGGTTCAAGGTCATGAGGTTGGAGGGCTGGGCTGGTGGAAGCATGAATGCAGA